TCTCTCGCGTTCTTCTCTGTATTTTCTTTTTCTCAGTTGATACAATATTGTCTTATGCTCGAATATCCCACACGCGTTAACATGGACCACAAATAAACGATCGTGACCCAAATGTTTAGCATCATATAAAAGCGCCTAAGCATCCCTTTTGGCTAGACCAAGGCACAATCGAGCTAATCGACTATCGTCAACCCTCAAACCTCAGGCAACATGCACTTGGCTAAGGTGTTTACCCAAGACTCCAAGCACTTACAACGTGAAAGCATCACATTGGTTTAATGAGCGGCATCACCATTTGGGCAAAATAGATGCTAAGCATACTGTGACATCTAATTATTATTAATTTCTTGATCATCTTGGAAGTAAGGACACGAGTCCCAATTAAAATAATGTATTATTATTATTTTATAACCGTGGATATTCGAATCAGATTGCGCGCACTTGGACTAATTCCATGAGATCCTGAAGTTTACGATAGAGCACTCACCTCAATGACCCTGACGTATTATAAAAATAGTACCAATGTGCTATATAGCATTACTCAATTGTTTATTATTTTGTTCCAGCAACATTTATTGATACAATATATACAATTGATTATGTGCTATGCCCAATAAAAGATGCGATCGCTTTTACTAGTGGTTTACAAAATCCAACGGTCGTTCCCTCCACCTTGAGCCCCCAAACTTGCATTTACATAACCCCCATAAAATGAAAACACAGTCACTATAAAGCAAAATCAGAACATAAAAATGCTTCAGCAATATATTTTGCAGAGAAGAACCCTAATGTCAAATAAAGCTCCCGTCTTTCCTATACCGGAACCTCAACACTTCAGTGACTATGGCTTTGATCCTCAAATTGACTATTTTCAGGTACTATGTGAAAACTCGACGAAAATTTTAACTTCTTTTTCTTTTGCTTATAAATTTTGTTTTATCTTCAAACGACTAGGTTTTGGAAGAAGCCAGGAATTACAAGAGGGAGAATGTAACATCCATAGACACACAGCACTTTAAGCTTCAAAAACCAATATCAACTGATGAACATTCCCCCAAAAAGAACAAAATGAGATGGTGGAGGAATGCCTTGCTCTTTTTCAACTTGAACAAATGGGTTCCACGCGGCGGAGGATCCACTACCGCCTCCGGAGGTTGCAATAACATCAATCACCAGGGGCGTCACCGTGTAGGATCATTATTTATGATTGAAACACTGGATTAACATTTTCATTTTAATTTTAGAGGAGAAACAATGGATTTATTGGTTCGTGTGATGGTGCTGGGTTAAGTGCACTGATCCGTTGAGCTTACACATTTATTTGTCTTCTTCGTCAAATAGTTGTTATCGAGTGTGACTGGTATATGGAATGTGGTGCTGAAAATTCTCAGTGACTGTTTTTGATTTTTAAGAAAATAATTCAAAGTTACTAACGTTATTTTGACCTTGTTTGGTGATGATTAAAATCAAGACTTTAATTTAAGTCAAAATTCATAATTAATTTTAACTACATTTTATATTACCCACAAATTTTTAACTACACATTTCATCATCTTTTATTAAAATTTACTAAAAATCTTATTTTAATTTCCACCAAACAGGAACTTAATATCATTTGTCTTACAATATCGATATATATATGTAACGTTAAATAAAATGTATAATCAAATATGTTACATAATTTTATCTATTGAATGAAACATAATGCTAGTTGTTGTTACGGGCCCTCATGAGCCCTCCACCTCATCCATCCAGTCCGTCTGTCACGTGGCAGCATGATCCGATTTTCGTGCGGCCACGCCTCAAAGGAACTGAATTAAGGTGGCCTCCACCTTGTTCACTCAGTTCATATGCCACGTGTGCACGAAAAGATTGTGCTGCCACGTGGCGGACAAATCGATCTCATACGGACGAACCGAATCCAATAGCCTAAACTGAAACGCTGCTGCTCACTTCGTAGACAATCCGAACTCATCCGCTAGACACGAGGGTTGCAAAGCCATGTACTCCGCATTCGTCACACCCTATACTTCCCCATGCCTGCCAAGATCTTTTATGAGAAAATCTCCCCAAAATCAAATCATTATCCTGGTTGATGGGACGTGTGGCAGACTCCAAACGATCAACTTGCACTGATATGTCAGAAACATTTAATATCCACCAACATATGAATGAACAGATTGATGACTATGAAGGGATGATTTGTCTGGGATCCAAAGCCATGTGTCCTTACATCCAACGGTTATTCTCTTCATTCCTCTTAGTATAAGTACTCCTTCATTAAGGTAAGAGGGTGACCTTTTTTTCTTTGATTTTTTGCCTTAGAAAGAATTCTTAACTCTGAAGACCATACACTTACACAGGCACTCAGCCACGTTCCGGTAATCATCTCATCACCAGACGTCACTTTCCTGTTATGAAATCACTAACTTGATCGATGAGTACTCGCGGTTGCTTCCACCTTTACCGGAAAATGCCACGGATTGCTAACGGTGTGTTATCGTGCACATGGAGGAGCTTACGTGGAGTATTATTTTGTTGGCCACGTGTCTAACCATTTTTCGAGGTTAAGACTAGTACTAGTTAACACTAGTATTACAACAATGGGTTATGTGACATTAAATGAAATGTATAATTAAATTAATGAAATGTCGCATAATTTTATCTTTAATTGAATCTATTATACAATGCTAATCATATTGGTGTTGTGAAAATAGTTGTGCTAAATACCGTATTCTAAAAAGTTCGTCTAGATGACGCCTATGCATCGTCTAGGCTCGAAACTCATGCAAGACGCATCACTTCGCGCCTAGACGCTTTTTTCCAATTTCTAAATGGCTAAATTTTTTCCTTCATCTCTTTTGTCTTCCTTAAGTGCACTTTACTAGTTTTTTTTCTTTCCTTCTTTTTAAAAGTCTTTTATTTGATTTTAGAATATTAAATTTTTTATTTAAAAAAAACTATTCATTTGATTTTAATTTCAAGTTTTTAATATATTTTATCTATACAAAAGTTAAAAAGATTTTACCTAATTAGTTAAATAAGATTTAAGATATGATGCTATCTATATTCTGTAATTTCGATCTTGAGACTTATTATTTTGTTGTAAACTCCAAAAATATATATATGAAGTTCTTATAAATCTATTACGTAAGACTTGTCTAGTTGAAAATTGAAACTTGTTGAAGTTTTATTTGATTTTTTAAACTTTTTTTTAATATGTCTCTATTTAGTCCCAATTTGGTGAAAATTTAAATTTAAATTAAAGTCAATAATTAATTTTAATCACATATTTCGTGATATCACAACTTTTCAACGATACATTTCATCAATTTTTATCAAAATCTGCTAAAAATCTTATTTTAATTTCTACCAAACATGGGCTTAATGTGCTTGTTATCAACAAATATGATTTTGAAAAAAATATAAGAAAAAGTTATATTTTCAATTATATTAATTATATTTTCTTAATCCACATGACGTTAAAATAAGTCAATCTTCATAGGACTCAACTATTAAGCAATCACTGTACCAATATCCATACCTTTTCCCACCAACCACTTCCATCTTCCTATGCCACTACTTTCATCCTACGAAATCGAAGATCTACCTCCTTCCACCACAACATCTCGCTCCTCCACCCACTATCGTTGTTGCCCACCATCACCTCCACTAATATTGATGCAGGGAAGATGGGAGGCTAGATCATATATCATTCTGATTGACGAAATTAATCTAGATATTGTTCTAGGAGACGAAAGAACAAAACAATTTCTGGAATTTAAGCAATATTATTCATTGAGTTCTACGGAAATCACTAAAAGGCATTTATATAGACGTTACAAGAATCCCTAAAAATAGAAAATGTCAAAATGTGCCAAAATTAGTAGAAAATCAAAAAAAAATATCTAAAATAACGATTTGAAGGCTTAAATGAAGGAATTTCGCTAAATTTTCGAGATCTCGCGCTTCGTCCCGAGTCCAATTTTTCGGTCCGTTTCCATTCGGACTGTCAAATTTCAGTCCATTCCGACACCGTTACGATAAATGACTAAAATACCCCCTGGCGCGGGCTGGACTTGTCCTACTTCACTCCCCCTCTCTTAGAGGAACACTCGTCCTCGAGTGAAGCACTGGGAGGTTCATTGGAGCGTGGTACTCATATAGGTCTCGCACGTTGAACGTCTTGGAGATGGCTAAACATGCATAAAGGTCAACCACATAGGCATTGTCATTGATTTTCTGAAGAATCTGCACTGGACCGATTTTGTTCTGTTTTAGTTTATGGTAAGTCCCTACAGGAAACCTCTCCTTGCAAAAATGTACCATCACTTGATCCCCATAAGCAAATACTTTAGAATGTCGATGACGATCTGCTGCCCTCTTATAACTCGCTGAAACTCTTCCAACTTTTTCTTAACATCCATGTGAATGTTAAAGTGTTTACCAGCTAACTGTTGGGCAACAATTCTCATACCGACAGCTGCAGTAAGGGAACCAAGTCCAAAGTGTGAAGCGGGGGACGGATATAAACAACCTCAAAAGTTGACTTGCCACTAGACCGATTAGGCACCATGTTGTATACGAATTCAGCTTGAAAAACAGCAAAGTCCTATTGTTTTGGATGATCCTGACACAGACTTCGTAGAATGTTGCCCAATGTAAAGTTCACCACTTCCGTCTGACCGTCTGTTTGGGGGTGACAAGTACTGTTATACTGCAAGTCCATCTCAAAACGATGCCACAAAGAACGCCGAAAGTGGCTCAAGAACTTGGTGTCACGATCAGAGAAAATGGATTTGGGTAAGCCATGTAAACGAACAATTTCGTTGAAGAACAAATGTGCAATGTGGCTAGCATCTGATGTCTGGCAGGGAATAAAGTGCGCCATCTTGGAGAATCTATCAACCACTACAAAAATAGAATCCATACCTTGCTGAGTTTAGGGCAAACCAAGGATGTGTAAGTGTTATGCCCTAGGTCCAATCAACTTTGGACATAAACACTTTGAATATATATATATAATCAATGCATATGTATGACAATATCTATTATTTAATTGAATTAATATTCTAATAAAT